CGTTTGTCCTCCATCAATAGTTAATTAGCATCAAGAGTGGTGCCTCGCCCATGCTAATTCTGGAGCCACGTGACTCTTTGAGATGCTCCGGTGTAGCTAAAGATGAGCAGTTCATGTCATTTAGCCGAGTGTTGCCTGCATGGTGGAAAGCCTCTGGTTATAGGAGATTGGAGAGGTGTGGAGAGGATCTAAATAAACAATAAACACTTGGGTGCCATCGTTTTTGGTCTATTTTTGTCATTTTAACTGCCAGAGATTTTCCTCACTGGTTTCCCTGGGCAAGACAAAAATAAAATGCAGAGACTGGGAAATGTAACAGTCAAAGAGCATCTGCTGCTTCAGACTTTCTCCTCTTTTTAATTTTATCTTTTCTTTTATGACTGAAATATAAAGGAAGAAGGATTTAAGTGTAAACAGGTCTCCTCACAAGTATTTAGCACACTGTGGCGCAGCTCAGCCTCGACGCACAACACTTTCATTGGGCTTTGTGCGGTAGCATAGCAACAATTGCCTGGTAGCGTGCTTCAAGGTAGTGCTCCGGAGCCGTGTGTTTTTCAAATCCTCCAAACTCATCACTGCAGTCAGCGAGCGCCAAGATGCACACTGAAGTTAATTTTCTCAAAGCTTTAGCGCGCTCTGAGGAGAGAGGTGGGGATGGGGGTTGTGGGTGGGGGATGCTCCCATAGTAACGCTGAAAGTGCAAGATCTCATGGTTGAACAATAGGAATTCAAAGGGAGATCATGTAATATAAACAGCAGCTAAACAAAACACTGCTTTGCAGAGGCCATGTGCGGCAGGTTGACTCAGACTCTACAAGACGGTTGGAGGGCTGTCCAAATCATTTCTAATTAGGTCGTGAGTCATAAGGTCAGCTGACCTCCATTTGACTTGTGTGCATCCGATCATATTTAGAGACCTGAATTCACCTGTCAATCCATAAAACGTCATCATATAGATGTGTCTTCCAGCTCAGGGTGGAGCTGGTACCGTATTTTCACCATCACATGTCCTCCAATCTACTTACAATGACACTGATCAAATATGTGACAGGATTTCTCTAAATGATGCCTCGCCAGATTTGATTTGAGCATCTGATTGTGTTCTCTCCAGGGTGGCTTCACAAAATTCCACAACACATTAATGTTAAATGGTTTCTCATTACGAAGCATCAGAGCCTGATGAAGAGGGGATGAAGCATGTTGAAACATCACTAGACACATCGGTTAAATATATCGTCTGTTACTTAGAGCCCATGATGACGCCGTTTGACGGATATAAACAGCAGGAGGAAACGCCAGTGACTGGAAGGCACCAATGCATTAACCATGTGATGCTATTTATATCAGAGGAGCAAGGGTGACACAGTAACTTGCATGTGTTACGTAACATGTAGATTTTGTAAAACGCGAATGGAGGAAGAAAACATGGTGGATGTGCATCTACAGAGCTAGAGTCCCTTTTCTGAGATTACTATTGCTGTTAACTGCGGTTCTTAAGAAACACTGGGAATGGAGGTGCAATTTTGCTGATGTGTACACTGAGCATGCTCAGAGACGGACATAATTCATAGCATGCTGTCACCATTCTGTCACTGCTCCACAAGATTATCAGTTGGAGATCAACTGCTTGGAAACTAGTATACAGCTTCAACAAGAACTCAACAGACAAATTCCTCTACAGTTTATTCATGAGGGAGAACATATTTTGGTTTCATGCATTTTTATTAAAATAACATGAATTTGAAGATAAGGTTGGAGCCCATTTGTCGATTTTATGAAAACTATAAGAATTAACGAGGCTAATGGTCACAAAATGATTACATCGGACTCCCTTTCATCATTGGCAACAAGTGAAGTGGTAAATGTGTAAAACAACAATGTTTATGAATGGCAAAAGTTTTGTTACCGTTTGTTACAAATCAGTAAATGCATTTTGTCCTCTCAGGCTCCCATAGAAAGAAACATATCCTCTAATTTGGCATCGCTCAGAGACTTAGACCCGCTTCCATATTTAGACCCGGTTTTTATGGTTATATGTTACAAATCCGCCAATATTTTTCAATTGGGCATCATTTAATCAATTTCCAACAACATTTCCATTGATATTTCCAGATATTAATGCTAAAAACTACACAATGTCTCTTAAAATATATTCTAAAGCAATCTACAAATTGTAAAATCGTGGTGAACGACTGTGTGTGCGGGGGTTCTAACCACAATCTTCAGCACTTCTGCTGATGATAAATGTGGAAAGTGAGTTCACGGATTTTTATATATTGTTTGTCCAACCAGTCTTCAAGTGTAATGTATTTGGTTTCTCTTTTAGTGAAATTGGGTAAGAAGACCCAAATCCAGGCACACAGCAAGTAGCTTAAAGACATTCAAACATCTTCATTTACTAAAGTTATTTTAAAACATACAACAAACAATTAGGCAAAGGTTAAAGAAAAACAGGAATAAAAGCAAATATCCAACAGTATCTTTGGCCTTATATGATCTGAGAAATTCAAATAAAAACCAGGGACAATATATTGAAGAGAAGTAAATGGCAGTGTTGTTGACTAATGTAAAGGAAGTGGTTTCCTGACCATTCACAGACTTGCAGTCTCCATTACTTTCAACAGACTGTTAAAACATTGGGCACGTCTGTCACCCTCTGTGGACCTGCTGCAGAGCCCTTACTTTGATGCCTAATGGCATTGCGTATCTCCGCAGACCGAGAAATATAAATCAGGCTTGAGGCATTCCCAGGCAAGCAGAAAGACTGTCCCTCCAGCGTGCCCTGGGCCTTCCTTTAGGTCCCCTCCTGGTTGGACAGATGCCCAAGCCACCTCATATGGCTCTTCTCGATGTAGAGGAGCAGCAGATCTACACCGAGCCCTTCCTGGATGACCAAGCTTCTCACCCTATCTCTAAGGGAGAGTCCAGACACCCTGCAGACAAGACCAATTTTGGCTACTTTTACCCGCAATCTCATTCTTTCGGTCACTACCCAAAGCTCATGACCATAGATGAGGGTAGGAACGTAGATGGATCTGTAAATCGAGAGCTTCGTTGTCCGGCTCAGCTCTCTCTTCAGAACAGCAGACGCAGCACCAATCCACCTATTGATCTCACGCTCCATCTTTCCCCCATTAGTGAACAAGACCCTGAACATTTTTGTGTCTTGTGTCTTAAAATATAAATATAAGCATCCGTCTCTCAGATGACTGGCATGTCATCACACTTCTAGGCTAAATTATTGTCCCAGTCCATCCCTCCAACTGGATAGAAGGTTTGCCAGTAGGTCCCTAAAAGACTGGTGACATTATTGAGTGCTCAATAAGTGAATACTGATCATTCATTCAAGGGCAGACCCCTGATAGAGTGCATTTATTAATTTATCAATAATTGTTCTGGATCACTTTACATCAAGTTAAAACAGTAGTAGAGTTTGGGAAATAAACAAAACTCAGCAAGTGAAATGTCAGGTTACTTAAGGTCACATTCAGAACCATAGATGCTTGTTTATAACTGCTGGGTCCATGTGAAGCAACAACTGTGAAAGCCAGTCTGACTGTCTTGCAGATCATGTTAAGTTAATTGTCCTCCCTTCAGTCCCAGGTCACGGCCAGTCACGGCGTTAGCCTTTGACATACAGTATGTAATTGCAATGCCACTCTATTTCAAATTGCCACATTATCTCTGTCATATGATTGGCAGTTTATGCTTCCTGCACGGCTAAAGCCCAAACTATAATTGGCTCGTTTGTGACATTTCAGAAAGGGTGACATATAGTGTAAATCAGAAAACATCACTTGCTGTTTTCCACACTTTGCCTATTAATTTGGTTCAGGGCTGTGACGGCATCAGTGGGCGGGATGTGGTGCTATATTGTTTCATGCATCCCAGCAGAATATGTCAATATATTAATGGCTGAATATTCTTTGCAGGAATGCATTTCATCTACAGACGTTTAAAGATTCTAATATGAAAAAAATGTCAGAGCCATAACCATTTTTGGTCAAATCTTGATACTGTATGTGTGACCTCGTGTAATATCGCAATCTGTTAGCACTCAGAGCAAGTGTTGGGAAAGACTCTCGGCTACTTCCTCACCCAATTCTGGCTAAATATCTGTGAAAAACAAAAAGGACTGCATGGTGGAACAGTTGGTATCACCATTGCAGAGTAGCAACTACAAAGTCACAGGCTCAACACTCAGCTGGAAATGTTTAGTGTATCGTTTGCTTCCAACCCCCCACCCCCCCACCCCACCACCACCACCACCACTAACCTACCCACCCATGGGTTTTCCGTGGACATGCTGGTTACTTCCCAGAGACCAAAAAACTGGACATTAGGCCAGTTGTTCCTAAATGGTCACAAGGTGTGAAGGTGTGAGTGGATAGTTGTCCGTCAGGCAATGAACCACACCGTCTTTGATGACCATCTCCCTGTGACCTTGCAGAGGAAATGAATGGATGAATAAATGTGTAAACTTCTTTGGAATGATTAGCTGCTAATTAATGTGTCTTTGCTAACAGGAAAAATGGTTCACTCTAGTTCCACTATATATATATACATTAAAGTGGTAGGCATTGACTATGACATTAAGCCTATAAGCCCTGTTGGCTCTGAACATGGTCCTTGTGATCCTGAAAGTGATTGTTAGATGGAGAAATAATGATGATGAAGCAAAAGCAGTGCTTCTTCCTTCCCCAGTGATGCACACTACACTTCCTTATTGTGACCCCCCCCCCCCCCCCCCCCACACACACACACACACTCACACCCTCTCTCTGTTTTTAAGCTCTGTTGTACATCAGTAGCTGTCTCCTTTTGTCCCGCTGACAGCACTGGGTCTACTTCTTTAAATGAGCCTTTGCGCATAGCCTTCGAATCACCACAACTGCATCAGTGCTGGCTGGGTTGCTTAGCAACTGGACAGCACAGAGATCCCTGAAGAAAACCTCCTCTCTGTATGTAACACAACTCACTGTGATTCTTAGATTGTGATGTGCGCGCGTTCGCAATCTCCAGCAGAAAAAAAAAAGTTTACGTTCTGGTAATAATTATGATAATCATAAACTGAGTAACAAAAAGGGATACTTTTTTGGATTTGGGCGCGTGCACTCGTCGCGCGCGCGCGTGACTCAAACATGTGGCTGAGGCATGAAAACGCAGCAACACACACGCGCAGCATCCTAATGGGGAGCAAAGAGAAAATTCAGCGCTTGGACAACCTGTCGCTAAGGAATTCACCTAGGTGTCCCCCCTCCTCCTCCCTCTCCCCCCCTCAGATGTGAGGGACTTAATTTTAAATCAAACTGAAACACGGATCCAGAGGAGGACAGGACACCAGGTCTCCTCACCATGTCTCTTTGGACACTGGAGACGACAACCGGAGCGTGTTAACGTGTCCAAACGCCATTGAGCGCAAGGCAGCTGAGGCAGGAGTCCTTCTCACGTAGGTTCGCATCTTTCTTTTTCTCCTAGCCCGACGCTGGGAGACATGCTTTGACTAAACAGGGACCATCCGTATTTCTGGGCATCTATTTTTTTCACCAGAGGAGCGATAGCCCGCTCTGACGTCTGCATCAGATATTACCGAGAGCTTTTCCATTGTGCATTTTCCCCTCAGTGACTTTGCGCTGATCTACATCATCAGCAGCAACAGCAGCAACGGGGGAAAAAGAAGGGGGGAATGAAGATTCCATTTTTCTTTTTCTTTAATTAAAAATTTTCGTGCGCGTGAACCCACCCGCTCCCCGTCAGCCGAGCATCGTTTTCAGCTCAAACTAATATCTTATTACAGCATCGCGTTAAAGACTGGCGCCAGAGCCTCGCTGGAACCATGCCTCTTCTGCAGATTTGGACTGGGAAATTTCATCCACCAATTTGATCGTCAGGAGGCTGCTGCTCAGTCATTCATGCCAGTGTTTGTTTGGGTTTTTTTCTCTTTCCTTTTTCTTTTTTTTTAAGAGGGAGAACATTTGTCATCACTTTTAAAAGTACTGTGTAGGCTGTTTTTATTATTCGAACAAGATGTCTGATCTTCTGGTGCTGGTCGAGGGGCTCTGTGACCTGCACGGATTTCCATAGCCGTGGAAAAGAGCAGGGGCCAAACACCACATTCTTCTTTTTTATATTTAAACCACCCAGCCCGTTATTAGAATGAAGACATAGTAGATGTAGACTCATTTATTCGACCATCTCAAAAGGCAATTCTTTTTTTTTCTTCTTTTTCTTTTTTGGGATTGCCTTGTTTTTATTTTGTGCAGTTTTTTTCGGGAGGACCACTGGACTGGTTGGATTACAGGAGCTATATCTATAAGGATTTGTGGAGATGTTGGGTCGTCAAGAAGAAAAATTATGTGGATTTTTCTCTGCTCTGGCGGCTTTGTCCTTCGTATGCTTTGTTCAAAGGTAAGAAAATGGCTCTCGGGAGGGAAAAATTAAACTTTCACACCAATGAAACGAGATCAACGATCAATAAAAGGGCTGAGATGTGGCAAATTACATTAACGGGGTACCCAGGCCTAGTTATTAGGGGCATTGCTGCCGATATATGCTCTATTAGACAGAGCTGTGACGCGCGCGTGCGTAGAAACATGCGCGTGCACAACAGCAAGCCTATTGTGAACCTCATTCCGATATCAAAAAGAGGATATACGTGCATACATGCAAGATGGCCATCCTTAGATAAGCTGTTATTATGATCAGATCAATTATTCATTGATTATAGACAGATATAGTTCTCTAATATTCATTCCCAGTATCCCAACTGCTCGTTTTATTGACCAAAATCAAATCAATCCAAATCAGAAAAAAAATCTCTGCAGGTTTTCTCCTTCCCTTTAGATTAAAGGCTGGAGAAGCTTTCAGTGTTTTAATAAATAAGCTCTTGTCAAGGCCTTTTAATGTTTACAGCCCACATTTCTGCACCATCTTCCACGAACATCATCCCAGACAGCTTCTCCTGTTGGGTTCTCTTATTGTTTTGATGTTGAGGACACTGATGTATGTCCCCTGTGGTCCGTGCTCAGTTTCCTTCTCTGCAGCGATCAGTTAAGAGACTTCTGGACATTCTGATTCTGTCAAAATCGGATTCAGGCATTCCTTCCCTCGAGCAGTGATGCTTTTGTGTTGGAGATCCTGAAACCAAATAGCTAGAACAGTGACACAAAATATCTGAAGAGTCCTATCATGGCATTATCAAGAGACTGGAAGTTTTCTGATTTTGCTTCAGCTTCCACCTTCCTCTTTCTAAGAAACCCCAACTAGTGAGTCCAGGTGATGCAGGTCATCAGTGTTATTGGTGTCAATCCCCCCTAAATGGCCTTTCCCTTCTTTTTCCAGGTTCAAAATCAGCTCAGACAGGGTCTTTGACTGCAAGATGGAAGGCTTTGTTAGAGCTCTCTTTCTTTAGACATAACCGTGAATAAAACGGAGTTAGGACGGAAACATGACAGGGGCACTGTTACTTTAAATGCCTTCATTTTGAAGGACCAGCATTAATAAAAGGCTTGAAAGATTTATTGTCACTATTGCCCCCCCCCCCCCCCCCCCCCCCAACTCACCTCTGTGGATGAACATGCAGTAGGTGGTGTGAAACTGCAGGCACGTGCATAGCTGCCACCGTGTCTCAGTTAGATCTAGTAATTTGATCAGCAAATTAAATATTAAAGCTGATCTGATGTTGACTACATCAGCATTGAGATGCAGGCATTTGTGAATGAGTTGTTCAGTTAATCTCACGTTCCTTAAAGCATTCCCTTGCTGACACAATAGCTTTCTCCCATCAAAGGTTGCATTATTTTTTTCCAGCTGAAAACATATAGCACCAGCAGTAAAATGTTCCAAACTTGCCAAATGAAAAACATCAAAAAGAATCAGTGTCGTTACTTGTGTTGTTTAAAGGAGGCCATTATGCTTGTGGTTTCTGCCCTCAGCTCCTCCACCGGAAGCACTGGAATGACTGTGGCAAAGACTACCGTGGACAAGTTGCTGAAGGGATATGACATCCGTTTAAGACCTGATTTCGGAGGTACGTTCTGTGACTAACTTTGGTCTCTGGGCTCTGACTGTGGTGGGTGTCAACAGGTCAGGGTTTGAGCATCCTGCTATTTGTGAGTCACCTGTCTAAAATCTGTTGAAGAGCTGGCTGGTAGCAAAATGTATCAAAGTTGTCCACTTGTGTAAAAGCAGGCCACACATGAAGAAGAGCAACAGAACATGTTTTTGTTTCTTTAAATCGTCTTGATCTTTAATATGTTTTGGAGAAGAACTGTGTTCAGCAATATTTATGTGAGTAGTACCGTATTAGTCTAATAATAATGACAGGATACTGTGCATTTGCTCTTGCTAACTAGTTGCCGTTTTGCTGAAAAAAACAGAATGGTCTAAACTAGTTGCAGGTTTTGCGATCCCTTATGATTTCAGGTAGATTGTTGAATATGTGTTCAGTTTTCAAAACATCAATAATACTGGATGAGAATTTGAGCTTATTAGATAAAGAAACCCTTATCTGAAACAAAACCACATTTAGTTGGGGTAAAATATCTTTACATGTGACTGGACAGAATTAGACTTTGTGTTGATTGCACAGTTATTTCAACTTGGTTGACAGCTAAGCAATGATGCTTTTTTTATGGTAAAATTCTCTTGGCCATAATTTGTCTTTGTCTGCAAGTTCTACATTTCCAAATAAGACATGCACATATGTTCAATAAATATCAGTTTGATCCACACTAATGTTGTCCTGCATTAGTCATCAACCAAAGGTTTCCTGACCCAAAAATAGTCAATGTTGATTCGAGAATACAAATATTAGTGGTTGAGTTGCACAAATGGCTAAAAACTACAAAAGTGATCCAACATAGCCACCATTTTTAATGCTACATCCACAATGGGTGCCAACCCCAATGTTGGAAACTGTTGCCATAGACCAACTCGGTTGTAAAAATATTTTGCATAACCGAGATATTTTTGTCTTTACTTTGAGTTTTATTAATTGTTATTAATGTGGCATTTTGTGCACAAGAGCTATGAAAAATTGACTGAAACATGGAAATGTCAGGGTTAGGGTTAGGCTAAACATGGTAACATGGTATTTAAAAATATCCAACCAAAACTTGCTCACATCAAAAAATATTTTAATTTCTTCACAACTTGAACTGTGGACCCCAACATTTGTTTTGATGATTATCGTTTTATTTAGAGATAAAATCCAAAAGGTGCTTATCACATGTATCTCAACACTCTTCCTATATTTTCAAATGCGCTTCAGGCAGCAGCTTGTCAGTCCTGCTACTACAACACCCTTGATGATAATGAGATCAAGCAGTGAAAAACATAAAGCAGGTGCACCTCCTCCTCCAACTTTCCACTGGTTGGGTGCTCTGCCAAAAGCAGATGCTCTGATGAAGGCTTATGTGCCAAGATGCGTTAGCCTGATGTTAGCCAATGAAAAACTATGTCATACTTGAGGTTATGTCTTTGGTTTAAGTCTCTGTTTTGGAAATGTTGCCAATTCAAACATGATTCTTACATTTATTGATTTAGTATTGGAATATTGGAAAAACACTATCAATAATGAAAAATTATCATCTAAATATTAAACAGTTTCTCATCTTTGCTGTTAAAATAAGTAATTACATTTCCTGACACCTAAAATGCAGTATTATATAAATATTTATTTATTTATATACATTTAGACCTAATATATGTGTAATATTGTTATTAATGTGGTATTTTGTGCACAAGAGCTATCTATATATATATATTAGGTCTAAATGTAAAAACTCATAGTAGATGTGCATTATTGCTATCTTGATGTTAAAATCAAACATAGTTTTAAGAAATATCATCATTTGAATGTACAATGAGGACAGATTTGTTTATTACTTGCTTGTTGATGAAAAAGTGAAGCCCAAAAGCCCACAGTAACATTACGACTACAGATGTGGTCGTAATGGGGCACCATGCTCTGCTGGGAAAACCGTCGTCCTAGCTAAGAAGAGGTTTCAATTCAATTCAATTCAATTCAATTTTATTTATATAGCGCCAAATCACGACAAGAGTCGTCTCAAGGCACTTCACATAATAAACATTTCAATTCGGGTCAGTTCATTAAGCCAATCAGAAATAATGTTTCCTATATAAGGAACCCAGCAAATTGCATCAAGTCACTGACTAGTGTCAGTGACTTTACAGCAATCCTCATACTAAGCGAGCATATAGCGACAGTGGAGAGGAAAACTCCCTTTTAACAGGAAGAAACCTCTAGAGAATCCTGGCTCAGTATAAGCAGCCATCCTCCACGACTCACTGGGGATCGAGAAGACAGAGCACACACACACACACACACACACACACACACACACACACACACACACACACACACACACACACACACACACACACACACACACACACACACACACACACACACACACAAGACAAAGTAATGTGTCTATAGTTATATTGTGATTTCTTAGTAAATATTCTATTTGGCGAGAGATAAACTTTATTGTATTTATCCTAGTGGATCTATAATTAAACGGATAAACTAGTAGTAGCACATCCAACGTCAAGGAAAGCAAAAAGTTATTATCAGGAGAGGGAGAATGTTTAAGTGGTTAGCAGCAGTGTGCTAGATGATAGCCCCCTCCATGAGGCCACCACAGCTCAGCAGAACATCATTGTAGCTTCTTCTGGGGAGAAAAACACTTAGAGAGAAAATAAAGTTAACAGCTGAAATTGCAGAAAATAATACAGTTAAAGAGCAGATTGTAGAAGAAAGTAGTAGAGTGTGAAAAGTGGTCAGTGTATCCTCCAGCAGTCTAAGCTTATAGCAGCATAACTACAGAGGTAACTCTGGATAATCTATCCTATTTAGATGGAGGCCTGTTGGAGGCAGGGCAAGGGAGAGCCGTCTTTACCGACTGTACACTCCACCTCCCTCTACTCCCCCACTTGTCCAGATTTAGGCTAACATCAGATTTTAACCATAGGCCCTATCAAATAAAAATGTTTTAAGCCTAGTCTTAAAAGTAGACAAGGTGTCTGCCTCATGGACTAAAGCTGGGAGTTGGTTCCATAGGAGAGGAGCCTGATAACTAAAATATCTGCCTCCCATCCTAATTTTAGATATTCTGGGAACCACCAGTAGACCTGCAGTCTGAGAGCGAAGTGCTCGGTTAGGAACGTATGGAAAAATCAGATCACTGATGTATGATGGAGCTTGATTATTAAGAGCTTTATATGTGAGAAGAAGGATCTTAAAATCTATTCTGAATTTAACAGGTAGCCAATGTAGGGAAGCTAAGACAGGAGAGATATGATCTCTCTTTTTAATTCTCATCAGAACTCTAGCTGCAGCATTTTGGACAAGCTGAAGACTTTTAACTACATTCTGTGGACTTCCTGAGAGTAATGAATTACAGCAATCCAGTTTTGATGTAATAAATGCATGAACTTGTTTTTCAGCATCACTCCTGGAAAGGATGCTTTTAATCTTAGCAATATTCCGAAGGTGGAAAAAGGAAATCCTACAAACCTGTTTAACCTGGAATTTGAATGACATGTCCTGGTCAAAGATAACACCAAGGGTCCTTACTTTGTTCTCGGAGATTAATGTTTCTTGATCAGAGGTTATGGGACTCACATGCTTAAGGCTCTGAGCCTCCTCAGTCTGCCTGCAGGAAGGAGGGTTGATATTTCATTTGCTGGATGAGTTATGTCCGTCACTACATTCTTAGTACTAATCCGCTATGTTAATGTTGATGTCCTCTGGTGAACGTGGCTGCTTCTGGACGTTTGTTGAGCAAATCTAACCACTCTTTCTAGTGTCTTCTTGTCAGTCTCAGAGCAGTTTCCTTAGTACTAGTTCACACAGCAAGATAATTAATGCTAAAGATAATCTCATCAGATATTCCTGCTGTGTGGGGTGTGTTAAAAGAAATCTGATCTGTTCTACTTAGAAGGACGTAGGGCAATCCCAATTACAAATTGGGGATAACACATGTTAGATTACGTTCACTCAATTTAGAGACAAATGAGCATGTTGCTTTTTGAATGTGATATTTAGCCAATCATGATTTGAGAGGATGGAAGCAAGCTGCCCGTATCAAGGGGAATCCAAATCCTCATTGTCCGCCTTGATTGTTTACTCCGAAGTTATGTTTGATCTTGCTTGTAAGAGAAATCAATATGTGTGTGGCGTGTTGTTTATGGTGAGTAGCCGTACACTCCAAAACTGTTATATCTATGCTTTTTACTGCCAAGTGTGGAGTCTCTACTGTTTTGAAAAGGAGACAGTTTTAACATATTTTATGTGAACCAGGTCTTACCTGTCCTTTATGGAAGATGTTGAGACCACACAGCCATAAAATAAACAGCAGCTCAGAGACTGGGATTTTTCAACCACCTTGTGAAATAGAGCCTTTGGTGTTCCTTATTAATGATGGTGTATGTGTTCATGGTCCATGTAATGTCAGTGGTCACATACATTCCCAAGTACATTCTTAACCCCAATGATGATTGTGTGCTGTAAAACAATGAGCAAGCTCCTCTTTGCCCTGCCTACAAGTAGAGTTGCATTTTGTCAAACCAACAACAGCAGTGTCATCTGCAAACTTTGTAATATATGTGAGTAATGTGATCAGATGTGGGCTGAATACACATCCTTGTGGAACACCTGTGTTGATAACTATTGCTAAAAAGGTACAATTACTGACTGACTCAATTAATAGTTGAGATCCAAGCAATAAATGTGTTTTTATTGTAGATAACTCTTTGAGCTACCTCAGTTTCAAGAAATAAAGTGTAGTTCTGAGTTGATTGGAGAACAGACTAAAGTGCATTTCTACTGTCCCATGACAACAATCATCCAAACAACATCATAGCAGTTTATGTAAATACTATTTTACAAACTTGTAGATTGCCACTAAGGGTTCATGCATGACAGGGTTCTCAACATAGAATTGTATGATTATATCCAAACACAAATAGCAGTTGCTAGCTGTAGCACTTGAGACCATAATA